CTATCAGTGCGATCGATGCTGCTGAGATCCAGTGTTGCTCCCTAACTTTCTGGTTTACCTTACTAGCATATATCACTGCTGTTTCCACAACTTTTCGGATATCATTCCATGCTGCATCGGGGTGGGCATCACATACATAGCTGCCTAACTGTTTTCCTAGTTGTTCCTGAAATATACTCTTAGCTTGACTATCATTAAGTAGGGCCCTAAGAGGTTTCCTTGCAGCGTCTTTCCGACGTCCAGTAAGACGCAAGCAAATACGCGCTTGCACTAGAGCATGATCTTAATCTAGGCATGTGCTCCAGAATGAGCGACAGTCTTCTATCGAGCCCCTCCATCGGTGGCTGATCGCGATGTGATCTATTTGGGTCCAACGTTGGGGCGAATTAGGGGGTCGCCATGTTAGATGTTTTTCCTTATGCTTAAAGTTAGTATTTGCAAGGAACAGACGTTTATCTGAGCATAGCTGCAACAGACGGTCGCCATTATCTGTTCTTTGAGCCACGACACCATAAGATCCACCCAGATGTCTTTCCCTATCGCTTAGTTTACCTACTTGAGCATTAAAGTCGCCGGCCACTATTACTACATCCGAGCGCTTAGCTTTTCGGAGAAGGTCCGAAAGCTTTCTGTAAAACTCATCTTTTACATCATCTGAGCTGCGGTCAGTGGGAGAATAGGCAGAGACAACGAAGAGGCAACGACGAGTGTCCCTATCTTTCCGGATTTTTACTGTTTCGTTTAGTCGGACAGCGCACAAACGACTGTCTACTGGGATCTACTCTAAGAGAGCTAGTTTTGCCCTAGGACTCAATGCTATACCTACGCCGGCGAGGCCACGGGAAGCATAATCAGGGCTTCCAGATACACGAAGCGTAAATCGAGTCGGTTCTTTATTTTGGCATGGTAAGGTCAAATGAATGACGCTACTTGGATCCTGTGTGCCCGTTTCGGAGACGCAGCACACATTGATGGCGCGAGATTCTAAAGTTTTAGCTAAGGAAGCCTGCTGTCTTATTTGGCAAAGTGTCCGTACGTTAAAGGCTCCTACGTGTAGTTTAGAGCGTGGTTTCAGGAGACCAGGAATAGCGTTCCACGTACTCGAATCGTTTGCCCTAGCGGTGCGAGGTGATAGAGAGACGTGAGGAGGGTTAGTTGGGGAGTTAAGAGAGGTATTAGGAGGTGTAGGAAAGACTTGAATGTGACCAACTTGGTCTCGTGTGCTGTTACGGGTATGAGGGTTGATGTCACTTCCCGGCTGCACACACCGTGGAAGGGTATTTCTTGAGGAACCTGAAAAGGAAATTGGATTATTGTTGGTCTTGACGACCTGGGAGCGTGACCGCAGAGCCCAAGGGACAACTGCTTGAGGCCGGTCGCGCACGGCCTTTTTGTGGAAGGTTTTTGACGTGTTAGCTCCGTTCTTCAAAGGGCCTTACCGCCGGAGACAGAAATCCGTGAGGTGTGACATTTTTAGGGTCGACCTTTTCTAACCCCACCCCTCCTTGTGGGAAGGCAGCATCGCTGTCATGCTGGTTGTCCGAGGGAACCACCTTACTGCTGTCACAGTTTTGATTACTGAATAATAACACCCTTGGATGTCGGCTCAGTGGTCGAGTGATTAAGCGCTCGCGCACGAGATTGACAGGTCCCGGGTTCGAATCCCGTGAGCGCGATCGTGGATACGCACTGCTGAGGAGTCCGACAATAGGACGAAATGGTCATCCGGTGCTTCCAGGTTTTTCATAGTGATCTAACTTCAATTAACTCATGATCTAATCTATTGAAATGACTACAATCTCCACAAAACCCCTTCTGAATAATAACAGAAAAATAAATCATAAAGTATTTAATCAAACATTGTTTCATTCTAATTTGAAATTCTTCGTCAATGGACGACCTTAGTCTCATATCAAACTATCTAATTACTTAGTAAGTGGGTGTCCATTAGTTTGTCATAATATATATATATGGATCAAGTAAGAAAGAAAAACAAACATTTGTAGTTTATATAATGAATTTTCTTCATCTGTTTATAATATAAGAATGATAATATGAAGTATTTAATAAAATAGTGTACATACTATATAAGGTGAATAAGTAAATACCTTTTGTCAGTTGAATAGATAATACTGTTGGCTCAAAGAATTTATGACCGATGTTGGAATTTTTTCGTTTTCCTTTTCTATTTATATTTTCATTTTGATTATTGTAAATTTTAAGACAATCAGTCATATGCTTTTCAGAAAAACAAAATTCTAAATAATAAATTAATTTGAATATAATTGTTGATAAATATTTGTAAATCTATGACATCAACATTGATAATGTTAATAGTTGATCTTATTAAGTTTATTTATATTATTATTATTATTATTATATTCTTACTAATTAGTTATATTTATATAGTTGAAAGCTAAATAAACAGAAACTAAATGGGGATTACTCAGTCAATCAGTCAGTAACAACGTAGAACTCCGTACGTACGTACATCAGTTCGAGTTGCCACACCACATTAGCACAGAGATGCAGTGATCGATTCAAATCCCGTAGTGGTAGAGGTAGAAGAGTATAAGCAGTAATCAGGAAAATTAGTGCTTGGAGATGTCATTTAAAGAGTATAATCCAGTGAAATAAATTTGGAAAGAGAAAAAAGAAAGGGACATGAAGAATTCAGAAGGTTAGAATTTAGGAGAACACAGAGAGTGGATGCACCTGCGCCATTGCAAACGATTTTGAGCCATGTCATTCAGGGTCTCTAACCATCGGTTGCTATCATCTCGCGGTCCCCAACCAGGTAGTCTACACCTACCAACATGACTCAGTCCACTTGTCAGTGACTTCATGGACTTGTGCCATGTTTTGGACTGGCCGCCCCTAGCTTTCTTCCAACCTACTCCTATACCACTGAACATAGCACGTCGAGGCAGTCGATGGTTGGGCATAAGTAACACGTGTCCTAGCCATCTCAACTGATGAGCTTTCACTACTTTATCAGTTGATTTTCCATTCTTAACTAGTACCCGTTTCGTACCAACTGTATTACTTACTCGGTGGTCCCAGGATATACGAGCAATATTACGAAGACACCTATGATCGAATACTAGTAACCTACGAATATCATCTACTCTTACCGGCCATGTTTCATTGCCATAAAGTAGGACGGAACGAACTGCTGCACAGTAAAGCCGTCCTTTGGTTGATAGATGGATATCTCGCCTACGCCATAAATGACGCAAGTTAGTAAAAGCTAGTCGAGCCTTCTGTATCCATGTTGAGATTTCGTCACACACCAGACCACAAGGACTGATGAGACTTCCAAGATAAGTGAATCGATCGACACGCTCAATTACTTCACTCTCTATCATTAGTTTGGTGTCAATGCAACCTAATCCTGTAGCAACATTTTGCATTTCGAGGGAGAGAATCGCATCCCGAACATGCTTGCATTGTTGCTTAGAGTGGTCAGAAGACTCTGCATTTTGTCAGCATCTTCACCAAATAAAACTATGTCATCGGCATATTCTAAATCAACAAGTGAACCTCCCGGTACAAGTTCAACCCTTTGAAATTTAGATGAGGAGAGTATTATCTCTAAAAGTACGTCGACCACAAAGTTGAACAAGAATGGGGAGAGTGGACAGCCCTGACGATCACCACTTGAGGTAATCAATTCTGATGACAGTTCGCCATAAGCTCTTACTCTACCAGTTGTGTTCGAGCAGAGAGCCTTTATAAGGTCAATGTACTTCTTTGGTACTCCTTTCAGTGACAAACACTACGATTGTGGGGCGTCTGAATGTGTGTTTGTGTTCTAGAACCTGACGTAGTGTGAATATCTGATCTATACAACCACGTTCAGGTTGAAAACCGGCCTGGTTTTCTCTAGTCTGCTCTTTACGAGCTTTGGCTATTCGTCGGAGTATTATTGAAGCTAATATTTTAGACACTATATTAGTCAAACTGATTTCTCTGTGATTGTCACAAGAGGACTTTTGTCCTTTCTTACAGACTGGCACAATCAGTGATTGAGACCAGTCATATGGGATTACGTCCAGTTCCTAGATGTGGGGGTTGCTATCATTTAATAAAATTTGTCTATGCCTAATATATGGTAGTTTATTTTGGTTTTATTAGTTTCTGAACTTTATGTAAATAATGTGTAATCAGATTTCGTTTTTAACAGTATATATGTTGATATAATATTTTTTTGAATTATATTTTAATGTGTTTAATTATGGAGCCCAATATTATTAATATTTGTTAAAATGTATTGTGGATCCTTGAGGAAAGACACATCATAAAGTTTCTTGAAGTTTATTTTATGAAAACCAGTTTATGGTGTTACTGTTGAACAGTTGGAAATCCAACAGAACCTTACTAGATGAAAGTTAGTTGTTAGATAATAATCAATGTTCTGTTGTACACTTCAGTGATGAATGGATTCATTCCGTAGCCACAAATGTTTTTGCCATTTCTCTTAAAACTTCTGGTAGTCTATATAGTACCTTGTGCTGTTACATGGTTTTAGTATCACTTTAAATTCAACTAAAATGTAACTTAACTCATCAAATAACTATTTTGTCAAATAAAATTAACTACAAATACGATCGTATAGCTTTAGTAAATGAGATAATCCAGAAGAAAATTTTCTTTGCTTAATTGTCTTCATCATTCTTCGGTGACACTACTCGTCTTTCGTTATTTATTTGGCTACCTAAATTCAAGGCCTCCTTGTTGTATGAGAAAAAAAGAAACTGCCCATCTATGAAAATTGAATCAGAAGGATCGGCATTTGAAATTATTATTTATTTTGAAGTCTAGAGAGAGAGTGAGTCTAAACTATTAATTCACGGATTAGCGTAGATTCTAAATGTTCGATTTAGTTTTTTTCAAAATAGTCGAAGTAATTTTGAAAGTTTAATTATATCATTACGTAAGTCTTATTAAATACTATTAATAATTGTTAACCATTTTCAATTTCTATCATTGTTTTGTAGGTTCTGATTGGTCATTCATGCAATTCGATCGAGATGATGGATATCCAAGTCGCCCACATTCGGTAGCTGGTCGACGATCAGACACTGAATGTGAATATAAATCTCGTTCACCTTCTGCAAACAGTGATTATAACTGCTATAGCTCTCATTGTAGTCTGGACAGATACAATGAGCCTCCCTTAAGATCCAAAAATGCCAACAAATCATCAAAGAACAAACATTTGTCTGGGACTATTCCTGGAAATACAGTAATTCCTATAACATCAAAAACCGAAATATTAAAATCTCATCCACGTAATGGATTACGACCTGGTCATATACATCAGTCCTCCGCTAGAAATTCCAATGGAACACGTCAAGCGTTGGCACGTTGGAATGCTTGTCGTAAACAAAATAATCATACAAACCTATGCGTTGATTCTCAACGTTCCAAATGTTTACGCCGTGGTCCACTAATCAATCATGGTTTTCAACGTCGTCAAGTTCGTATGGGAAACGGTGGTCATATACCTCATCAAAGAAGTTAATAAAAAACTAAGAAATTAATTGGTTTTTTTGTGATATTTTGCTCCTACAACGTTGTAACAGCGGATATTTGGTGTTCAGTTTGTTTGTCACACTGATATAGTGACAGTAATAACTTACATATGATTCTTCTAAATTACTTAGTGTCTTAGTGTTATAAATAAAATAATAAACACGAAAAATATACACTCAATCAACAGCTATATTCTATATCAAAGTTTAGTTATTTTACTCATTTTCCGTGTGTTCTATCTGTTCTTCGGAATATTCATACTTTTCTTCTGCAGATATACTAGTCACATTTTAATGACTGCTACATTTAAACCTATTCCCCACATGTTACCCATAAAAATATATAGACATGGGTCATGAAAATCGCTTCTTTCAGCTATGATATTTGCGATATTGTGTCCTATTGGTTTGTTCTATTATTTGTTTATATTTGTGTGTTAGTTATTATATTGCTATATTTGATGTAATTGTAATATGTTTACTGGTTAGTAGTATATTTTCAATAATTTGTTTGGATTGCTTTCTAATATATTTATTCTATGGATTTTCATATTTCCATTTGTATCTATATGCAGCTGGAATATATGTTAATTAGTCCCTTATATTTTCTTGTGTTCTTGTTGTACTCACTGATATTTGTTTATTTCTAGTGCTCTTCTTTTTTTGCTGTCTTCACTTTTAAGACAGTTTGCTCAAATTATACAATATTTAATTAATATTGTTGTTATGCAAGTTTATTTATCGAAAAAACGTAATGGAACTTCATTTTCACTGTGTGAAATTATCAGGAAATATTTGAATCTGGCTATTTAACGTTTTGTTTATACCCTACATGTTATATTAGAGGATTTCCATCCTTTGTTCAGTACATAATGGGTTATATAAAACCAGAATTAGTTGTAAGGTTGTGTTCATCATTTCTGGTTATTTGTCCTAATGTTTGTATTTTCCTATCAAATAACACCGCATTTCAATAGCATTCTTTATTATCTAAGCTATTAGGCGAAATATCATCAACTTAATTAAAAATTGTTTTTTATATGGTAATTATGTAACATTATTCATCTGTAACCGATTTGAGAAAGAACACAGCTTGATTGATAAGAAATACATTTTAAGCGAGATATGTCCTTTGGAAAGGATGATCCATGTTTTGAAATCCCTAAATGAGTGAAGTTCCAGTCACATACCAAAAGCCTAATATAAGGTAGGAAGTATTTGATGAATTTACAGTATGGAAAAACAATGCATAATAAGGGGTTCCACCTTAATTCTCTTTGAGAATCAATGCACCTTGGGTAACTTACTTTGACGACGGTATTAGCAAAGGAAAGGCTCTCTAAAGGATGCATCTCAACAAAGATTATTCGGGAGCTAAATGCCCATATGTGTATAATGTAAACCTTAATGGTATGTAGTTATCACAAAACAGCCGTGTTTATCATCGCTTCTCTTTGCCACATGTGAAGTGCATTAATAGTGATAGCCAACCGTATTTAACAAATTAAATCATGAATAGTCGGAGACACTTACAATTTATGACACGGCAAGCCAGTAGTAGGCTAATTACAATCATAGACACATGTTGAGCCTAATGTCCTCAATATCTGACTCCAATAAATAATATCCCGTAAACTGAGTATATTTAAGGTAGGCTTAATCTCCTAGCAGAATTACGGATCTACTCGAGATTATTCAGAAGCCTAAACACCAGTTGTAGAGACAATTTATTGTTAGTGATTTATAAAAATCCGCAAGCGTACAGCAAGCAAGCACACGATGAAACAGAGTGTGTGTGTGTGTTAAAAATCCATATGTATTTTTGAGAGTTAATCGGGTGTGGATAAATTATCGATTATCTGCACATTGCAACCAATAGGAGGATAGCTTAAGGGTTAATGTACATACATGCATTCGATCATACACACCGAAATTAACATGGTGAATTAAGAATCAGAAATTAACATGATGAATTAAGTGTCTGAGTTACAATGAGTAGACAAATGATACAGTGGCCAAGTGGGCTTGCCACACACCACGCCACAGCGTCATTTACATACACTTTAAAACGAGGTAGCAACCCAGACGAAAACATGGGAACATTCTCACTGATAAATTAACTATTTTTTATGAGAAATACGGTAGACGTCCAAGGAATTCATTTAACAGATAATTTTGTAATCAACCTTATTCATAAGTTTATATTAGTTGCATTTTATTGTGAAACATTCAACAAATATTACGAGCTATTTGAAAAGGATGGTGGTATTTTTCCTTACTGAAATACTTTTGTTGATTTGATAATTAATTACGCATCAAGACAGCTGTTTTCGCTTTAACTAAATTTATTTTAGTTAAAGTAATCGCTAAGTATATCGTTTTTTCGAAAGTAATTTATCATCTGTACTTTTGAGTACATTGGTTCTTTTCGTATTTATTTGCACTTTTGGTTCGAAAATTTTACAGTTTTTAACTTTTTCCTGTCATCAGTTTCTTTTGTCTCTAGGTATTGTTTGTGCATAGATTCTTTTTGAGAATCTTTGATTAATGAATGGACAGTGGAAAAAATCAATACCCAACGCACGGGCTGTCTAAACTCTGTGGATAGTGGCATGCAGTGCGATGAGTACAAAGGATAGTACCACGAAACTTGCACGAATTTAACACCTGTGCCTTCCAAAGTATTTGGTACAAATGGATGTATGTGTTTGTGATAGCAGTGATGCTGGGACGCAAACAGCTTGCTAACCGAAGCCACTCAATTGGTGAATGCTGCTAAAAAGCATCTTTACAAGCGTAATTGAGATGGATAAAATGGTGCTCACGTTGTCAATACACAAATCGATATGAAAATATCTCAACTAAGCTCAGAGTCTATTAAATTACATGGGCAGACGGAAGAAGGTCTATAAAGAGGTTTGTTAGAAATAAAAACTCAAGAAAGTAAGTTTCTTCTGTCCGTCACTCTCCAAATGGTAGCAAGCAAGAAGACGTATTCGTAAAACCAGGTCTGTTTCTATCAGGAAAAATAACCTGACTACCCAAGTTATCGACAATCATTCAAGATCTCGCAGTCTAAATAACGCGTCTGTGATTGCTACTCCAGTGAAAACTGATGAGTAGGTATAAATCAAGAATGAGAAACGACCTAATATCGTTAAAGAAAAACCAGTCCTTCAAACTATAGCTGATAAATTAAAGGCTAATTATGATGAAAGGTCAATTGTCTTATAGCGTCATGGAGACTGAAAGCTCAGAATGTAGAACTCGCTTTGAGCTGAACATTAGCTTGATAGAAAATTTGCTAAACTAGCTAATGCGTCAGGATACCTCTAGAATCGCCTTGCTGAAGCTTTATAAAATAGGTAGCCAAGTGAACTTAGAAAAAAGCCAAACCAGGTCGCTAAAAGTGGTATTTAATTCTCTTAGTGAAAGGGACTTAGTAATGCGGAATGGACATGAACTTAAGAAGTCGGAGATTTTTACCCATAAGTGCTTGCCGCTCGTGGATTTTTTAAAAAGGCGGGAGGACAAGAAAGAGCTATAACTAAGGCTAGATTCTGACAGAAGGGACCTTAAATTTGTAAATTTTAGGGTAGTGAGGCTTCGACAAAGAATGATGCTTAACTCACTTTGAGTGTAGCAAAAAGACATTTAAATGATCTTCGAGTCTGTTGGACGAACGTTCGAAGCTTGTTCAACAAGAGATAGAGGATAGGTGTACAGACAGACTCCACCAAGCTGGATGGAATCGCCCTCACAGAAACCTGCCTTACGCAGTCTGTAAACAGTTGGGAACGTGATTTCAAACGTTTCGCATCGGTAAGAGCCTACAGAATTCGGAATCATAGGGGAGGAGTAATTCTATTCATTAGAAATACTATCCCATTTGCCGTTATTGATAACATACCCGTGCGAATTAGTTATTTTCCACTTGTAATGCAAAGGTAGAGAGCTGCTGACTGGTTTGGTCTATCACCGTATAAACTACGAGATGAACAAGGTTTTCCCAAACTATTTAAACAGTTAGTCACAAAGTAGTCGATATTTAATCTTCAGAGATTTTAATGCACCCACGGTAGATTGTAAAAATCTGAAGACTGAACTGTCAGAAAATTCTTTCGAACTGAAACTAGTCGATGAGGTTATAGCATGTGCTCTTTTGCAACAAGTGAATGAAACATTGATTCTGACATCACAATCTTTACTGAATACAGCTGAAGGTGCTTTGTCGCACATTCGCACCATATCACGATTGGCTAAACTGTAAAACATATCCCTCACAACAACTAACCAGTTTAGGTCACGCATTTCTTGAAATATTGACTTTCTTTCAAATATATATATTTTGTTCCTTTATTCCTGATTTCTGGCTTGACTGGGTTTACAAAGCTGTTACGAACAAACGATTTGTGGAGGAAGAACACTGATCTTTATTGTAAACTGTGGTCTGTAGTTATGAGGGGTCAGATGACAAAATTTTAGATCACTTGATCGAGAAATTCTAAATCACTTGTTGTTGAGAGAGAAACTCAAAGTTTTAAGGTGACTATAAGCTATTATGGTGAATACCATCCCTTTCAATGATTTTAAAATTATTTTTTTCTACCGACATGTTGAGCCGGGTTCGTTAGCAGATTTGAAGTTGAACTTTTGATTTTGCACATTGATTTTGTGTTTTGAAATTGTCATTCTGAAATCTTCAATATTGGGGAAACACATATGAAATGGGTATTTGGAAATCCACAAATAAAGTGTGGATACTTGGGAATTGAAGTTCCGATTTCCACGTTCTTTGGTTCTAGAAGAATTTATCGAAACAGGAAACATTTCTAGGAGCAATGATTATGG